TCACCCACAGAGCAGGGCGATCAGGAGGTTGGGGCGCCGAACTGTCACACTCGGGGCAGGGCCGATGGAGAGGTTATGGCTCTACCCTGTCACACACAGAGCAGGGCTGATCAGGGGGTTGGGGAGCTCCCCCCTATCAGGCACAGAGCAGGGCTGATCAGGGGGTTGGGGCGCCTTCCCCAGTCACAAACAGAGCAGGGCGGATAGGGAGGTTGTGGCCCCAACCCCTGTCACACACAGAGCCGCAGGGGGGATCAGGGGGTTTGGGCGCTGCCCCCTGTCACGCTGATCCCAGTGCCGGGGAGCCTCGCTGCTCCGCTGATCCCCGGTGCTGGGGAGGCATATTACCCTTTTTACTATATAGAATAGAGGCCCTGGTGCACGGATGGGGGCTGGCTGGTTTTCCCTGAAGGGTGTCCTGGATCAGGGTGGGGGTCCCCACTGGGGTGCCTGGCCAGTCTGGGTGAGGGGCTGAGGGCTGTTTTCCGGAAGCGGGTGACTGAAGCTCCCAACAGCTCCTTGTTTTCTTTTTTTTTTTTTTTTATTCTGGGCCAGCTTTAGCTCTGGCTCTAGCTCTGAGGCTTCAGCTGCTATAATCGAAACAATGTATAACTCTAGCTCTGAGATCCCGGCCGGCTGAAAGCTGGTTTCTGGGGTTTTGCAACTATATTTGCAACATAGTTTCTTAGAGTTGTAGCTCAGAGGCTGGCAAGTCAGGCGGGGAACGTTGGAGTCTGCAGTCACTGGAGCAAGCAAGCCTCCCTGCTCGCTTCCAGCTGCCTGGCTGCCGGCCGCTATCTTGGCTGGCAGTTAATTTGCATAAGGATATGCTGATTAGCCAATGGGAAGGGTAGCGGTCGTACGCTAATTACCATGTTTCTCTTTTATTAGTGTAGATATGAATAATTTTTCCTCCCTGATCTAGTAGCTCCGTTGGTTAGAGCGTCCTGTTGTCCAGACATCCCAAGGTTGCAGGTTCGATCCCGGGTCAGGGCACATACAAGAAGCACCCAATGAATACATAAATAAGTGGAACAACGAATCTCTCTCTCTCAAAAAAAAAATTAATGATTTTTTAAATAATAAAATAAATGTTTCCAGTTCAGAGCCCCACACATCAATTAATGGCAGTTATTATATATCAGGATTGTAATCCACTTCCCCATAGGTACACAATTTGCAATTCATCATTAAAAATTATAATTCAATTAATGACTGTGCTAATGCTTTCACCATATATTTCCTCCCGTATTTTATTTATTTTTTAAAATATATATTTTATTGATTTTTTACAGAGAGGAAGGGAGAGAGATAGAGAGGTAGAAACATCAATGAGAGAGAAACACCGATAAGCTGCCTCCTGCATACCCCCTACTGGGGATGTGCCCACAACCAAGGTACATGCCCTTGACTGGAATCGAACCTGGGACCCTTCAGTCTGCAGGCCGACGCTCTATCCACTGAGACAAACCGGCCAGGGCTCCTCCCATATTTTATTATGAAAATTCTCAGCCCTGGCCAGTGTGACTCAGTTGGTTGGATCATCGTCTGGAACACCAAAAGGTGGTGGGTTCAATCCCCACCCCCTGGGTACCTACAGAGGGAACAGATCGATGTTTCTCTCTCTCTCATTTCCTCTCTTTCAAATCAATAAAAACATAGGTGAGGATTTGAAAAAAAAGAATAGCCCTAGCTGGTTTGGCTCAGTGGATAAAGCATCGGCCTGCGAACCGAAGGGTCGAAGGGTTGCAGGTTGGATTCGGGTCAAGGGCACTTACCTCGGTTGCAGGCTCCTCCCAGCCCGGGGCCCTGGTCAGGGTTCGTGCAGGAGGCAACCAATCTATGTGTTTCTCTCACATGCATATTTCTCTCTGTCTTTTCCTCTCTCTTCCACTCTCTCTAAAAATCAGTGGAAAAATATCCTCAGGTGAGGAATAAAAAAAAAAATCTGTTTTAAAAATAAAAGAATATTTTACAGCTAATCCATATACCCAGCACCTAGAGCAGCCGTGGGCAAACTACCGTCCATGGGCCGGATCCGGCCCGTTTGAAATGAATAAAACTAAAAAAAAAAAAGACTGTACCCTTTTATGTAATGATGTTTACTTTGAATTTATATTAGTTCACACAAACACTCCATCCATGCTTTTGTTCCGGCCCTCCGGTCCAGTTTAAGAACCCATTGTGGCCCTCGAGTCAAAAAGTTTGCCCACCCCTGACCTAGAGTCTACAATTATCTACCATACTTTTATCCATTTATTTATCTCTCTAACCATCCATCCATTCACCTTTGTTGTTGTTGTTAATGTTTTTGTTAATCCTCACCCGATAATGTTTTTTCTTTTCTTTTTTTTTCTGCTCCCCGAAAATATTTTTTCTATTGATTTTGGAGAGAGTGTAAAAGAGGGAGGGAGGGAAGGAGAGAGAGAGAGAAACAGAGAGAGAGATAAAGACATCATTGGTTGCCTCCTGAACAGGATTGAAACTGCAACCCAGGTTCCTGCCCTTGACCGGGAATCGAACCCACGACCGTTTGGTGTGTGCAGGCTAAGCTCTAACCACTGAGAAAACCGGCCAGGACTCACCTTCCTTTATTTGAACAATGACAAAGTACGTTGTGGATATCAGTGCACTTTCCCTCTAAACACTTCAATGTGCATTTACTAATCAGATTTTAATGTTTGTTCGCAGCCCTTTTCTTCTTTTTAGGTAAAATTTACATACAACAAAATGCACACATCTTCAGTGACATTCACTGATTTTCGACAAATGCATATGCCTGATTTCCCTGGAATCTTCATAACTGCTTGGTGAGGTTGGTCCCACTTATACCCATTCTCCAGATGGGTAAGACTGAGGCTTATGGCCAGAGAAGTCACTCGCCTTGAGGCCACACTTGGGGAGGCTGGGAGTTGCATGCCTGTCTCCCAAGGCCCTAACCCAGTGGTTCCCAACCTTTTATTTTGGCCATGCCCCACCTAAGCGCATCTCTAAAATCCTGATGCCCCCCTGTGACATATATGTCTTATTATTCAAAAAGTGAACTCCAACCGTAGTTGGTTTGGCTCAGTGGACAAAGTGTCAGCCTGTGGACTGAAGGGTCCCAGGTTTGATTCCAGTCAAGGGCACATGCCTAGGTTGTGGGCTCGATCCCCAGTAGGGGGCGTACAGGAGGCAGCCAATCAATGATTCTCTCTTATCATTGATGTTTCCATCTCTCTTTCCCTCTCCCTTCCTCTCTGAAATCAATAAAGGTATATATTTTTTTAAAAAGTGAACTCCTGCCGAAACCGGTCTGGCTCAGTGGATGGAGCGTCAGCCTGCGGACTGAAGGGTCCCGGGTTCGATTCCGGCCAAGGGCATAGACCTGGGTTGCGGGCACATCCCCAGTGGGAGATGTGCAGGAGGCAGCTGATCAATGTTTCTCTCTCATCGATCTTTCTAACTCTCTATCTCTCTCCCTTCCTCTCTGTAAAAAATGAATAAAATATATTTTTTAAAAAAAGTGAACTCCTTTTCACA